CACCTCATTTAACAATCAGGTGTGGCACACCTGGGAGGAGCTAGTGGGAGCGGAAAGGGCTCAAACAACACAGGGATTGTGACTGACAGTACACACAACTGTGTTCAAACCGGACTGTCGAAATTACAATTATTGTAAACTAAATATTTTGGCTTTGGTTAGACAAAAGAAACAATTTAAAATTATTTTACACAACAAAAATCTTAATTATAATTTATACTTGTTGTGAAAGCAATCCTGGGGACCAAAATCCAGGTATGATGTAGTATGCAGTTAGTTAGTTACATGGTAAGAATAACTTGATCATTTTAAAATAAAGTATGTTTTGTACAGCAGAACAAATAACTTGATTATATCTAAAAGCAAAACCAAAATGATTACGTAAAATAAACTGATAAACTGGCATATTAAGCAATGGTTTTGGATAAAAACTTTTTTTGTGGCCCTAAAACGTTTTGGGGGCCTGAAAGCGTTTAAAACCAGGTTCCAGAGTGCAATCTTTTGACAATGCTGTATTCAACTGCCAAACCCTTTCACTGTGACAACGGTGGCGACACGGCCTGACTTTGCGCATGACTATCGAGCTGTCGAGGCTCTGCTGAGTTTATTAATGCTCCTCCAGCAAAGTGTGGAGTTGCTGCACCATTACTGTGATATGTAGAGACACATTAATTACATCTGCAAAATACTTTTTGGGTCATAAGAACTGCCTTTATTTGCCGAGCAGCAGCAGAAATTACATATTGTACATTTCAGTCAACAAAAATGCTAAAAGTTGTGCACATGGCGTAAGCTCTTAACTAATAATGATGTCTGAACCTTTAATATAAATGTGCAAACCGAGCCATTATAGGCCCCTCTGTGCCCTTTAGACGAGTACTCAACCCACCAAACATCAGGGACAGGAGTCTGCTGGTGCTGGAAGCTCCCAGGTGAGAGATTTTACAAACTTGTTTTTAGGACTGAGTTTTATTTTGTGTTGCTCAGTAAACCCTCAGATAAATAACCAGTTAAATGTGATATGACAGCGTTTGTGTGTGATTGCCATTCACGCTGACATTTCAGAGACGATGAGTCAGCCACACTGTCCACGACGGCTTCTATTGATCACTCAGTCACAGAATATCCAACTGCGTGCGTACGCTGCTCGCAGACTAATGTACGAACGGGTGGCAAAACAGTTGAACCGCTGTTGTTAAACTACACACGTCTCGTTTTGGAACAAAACTCCTGCATCCGCCTGTGAACTGCAATAAGCCTCTCTGATTTCTTCTCGCTGAGAGAATAACAATGTCCCATTAGCAGCCCCGGCAGCGACATGGCGAACATCTACTCCATGCTTTTACAAATAGCAGCAGATGATTTTGAACTGCACACAGACATGACTGCTGACTTTCAGGGAACCTCATTAGCTAGCGGGAGAATAACTGACAATATTTCTGTTGAAGCTGCGTGTGGACGGATAGCCTGAGTGATATTATAACTGCATGCTCGGGCATCGTGTTTAGATGTAAAATAAAGTGGACTACTGTGAGTCTCAGTGCATAATGCTGCTGTCTGCAAGGACAAAAAAGTCGAGGCAATTATGTTGTCTTTTTTCACTTGCATTGAAAGTTCTCAAATTCATTTATTTGCTGAATGAGTTTCATGACCTCACAGGCCCTTAAATCCTGTTAAAATCCCCATTGTACAGTTTCAAATAGGCCTACGTGTCAAAGGGAATATAAACATATTTCCACATCCTCGAAAAGTGTGTGAGATTTTTTTTTCTTCAACAGCGGTGGCAAATGACACCATAGTAAACTCAACTCATCATCTTTAGGGCTTCTTTCACCGAGAGACGACACACAGTATCCAACAGTGGTTTGGCCTTGAAAACAAGATTATGAATTAGTCAATTACAGTGGCAATGTATCGACTACAACCCTATTGTAGATGTTTTCTGTCTTTAAAGAAAGGCTTCTCTGAATTTTTGTATACACTGCACTGAAAATGAAGTAATCACTTGTGTAACTGCTGAAAAACTGATGAGTCAAATGCTGTAGACAAAAGGAGTGAGGTCAAAGAAAGGTTTACTCTGTCGTTGCTCAATGTAAGTCCAAATTAAAAGCAGGGAATGGGTCATAACAAGGCAAGAGGACAGAGGGCTAAAATGCTACAACTGGGATGGCACAATAGACAGTATGGCAGGGAATCAAGGCTAAAGGGCAGGTATATTTTCTGGGGAGTTAATTAGGGAAGCGGGAGCAGGTGCAAATGGGTGTGGGGGTCATGTGATGTAAAAAAGTCAGAAACACATTGATTGACCGGGAGGGGATGGCTGGTTCTGAAATGAAAAGAGAAACATGAGGACAGTTGTGAGTGGTGAGCTGCAACACTAACTAATGCACTGTGGAATACTTCTCATAGCAATCAAATTTCTTGGACAAGTAAGAAATCGGATGCTCAGTCCCACCAGAAACCTCCTGCCTACGCCTATGCTGGTCTCACTCACATCCACAGCCAACAACGACAGGTGCAAAGCCGACTGGCAGGTATCAGACCACTCAAAACTCATCCTATAATAACCCACCATTGCTAAATAACGGCGAATGTTGAAGTTGAAGGTTTTAAAAGTCGCTTTTTTAACGGTTGTGTGCACACAATTTTCTATTAACCACTGTTGAATGGGGCTAGTGGCTGAAGTCTCAGCGGTGGTGATATCAAAACCTCGGACAATAAAACCAAAACTATCTGCATCACTACATTGTAGGGTGTAGTCTTTAAATTCCCATTAAAAAGTAAGCCACAATGCAAATTACTGGAACCACTAGGTAAACCAAGTAAAGTGTATCTGAATAGCACCTTTTCAAAGATAATTCAAAGAAGAAGAAAGATTTTTTTCATCTAATGAAGTCTTCAATGAAGCTGCTATCATGTGAACCAAATCTAAGACCCAAAACTTCTGCACATTTGCTGGCTCCTACTTCAAGGCATCTTGCTCAGATCCATCCTGATCCCTGCTGCTGTGGGTCTGCATATAGAACGGTGGAAGATGCCATCCGTGTTCAGCTTGGTGTGAAAATACAACACTTAGACACTCTAAATCTCCTCATATGACTCATCATTGAAGAAAGCAGCATCTCGCTAAATCGATTTCCCTACTTCCTACTCTCTAAGTCAACACTGCTGGCCAGCAACACTAGCTTATGTACCGAGAGCGTTTTCTCCACAATCAATACCAAGCTGCTGTTTCACCTGAATAAGCACTCTAAAAAAGCTATTCATCCACTCCGCTTCATCTAAAAAGACACTGGGTGAATAATAATGCCACGCTGGTATCATGTCTATGTGTAAAGAAAACATAGACGTTTCATTATGGCAACAGAAAGGCTTTTAAATTGAGTGGCTGATTGTTACAGCCGTTAATAACAGACAATCAAACCTATCTGAAATATTCAGTTTTAGAAATCAGGATGTCTGCTGTGAAAAAGGCAGATGACGATATGGGTTGCTCATAGTGCTCCAATCTTGTAGAATTAGTCTAAACTCTGCAGCTCTGTGAAGCTTTATAGCCTCTTTTACCTCATATGTTTCGTTTATAAATACTACATTTATGCAACATGGTCGAGTTGCAAAGAGGTGGTTGGAGAGGACTGTTACACCACAATAATGTTGGTTAAGGTTAGGGAAAATGTTAAATGTTAATAAAAAATCTCAAATCACTGCAGACTTTTGAATAATGCTGCAGTCACTACGAGTGTTTATATCAAGATATTTGTTCAATGCATTTCCCTAAGAGCGTATTTTCTGTTGTAAATTAGTTGTACCAAACTGGAACATCTAGCAACTGCATAGTCACATGCATGGCTGTCGCATTTTACAAAGTCAGCCCAATCTGCTTTACGCTTACATTATTCTCACGTGGTTTGGTTTCATGATTGGTGTCACTAGAATTTGAACAAATAATTCCAGATTGAATATATTCATTTTCCAGTGGCTTGAGTTGTGAATAGTCCTAGTGCAGGTGGATGGTTCCCAACCTTTCCTATCATTGAGTGAATGGATGACCCCTGACTACATGGCATATTTTATGGATATTTTATATTATATTCCATGCATCACAATAAAAGTACAGAACAACTGACAAACTGTACAATGAACCCAGATAGTGAACACAATAACTGAGCCACTTGGATGGATTTGGCATCCTATCTTTTCTCTTTGTAATTCTGTCTGTACATCTTATTATTACAATCATACATACTTAATAGGCTTCTTCTTTGACGAATTTAGTGTTTGAAATGTTGAGATATAGGCCTACTGTCTTTTCTTTCACCCCTTAAAGTCAAGGCCTCGCAACCTCCTGTGAAGCTTTGATGACCCCTAAGTAAGTAAGCAATGTGTAGGAATGGATGGAGCAATATGGACTTATTGCTTATTGTTATTTAGCGTACTTTTTGACAAGATGCAAATCCTTCAGTGACTTTTTACAGCTGGAATTATGGCCACTGTGTACTGTACTAATTTAAAATCTATAAAAGAAAAGCTTTTCCATCTTTTTCAGTTTCCTCTTGGACCAAAGCAAACCGGGGCCCCCTTGACTTAATACGTTTACCGATCATGACTTCTGTGTGGCCTGCCATTATAAGTGGAAAGACTGAAGTGTAGCTCTTCCCTGCGAGCAACTCTGAAGTGTAAAATTGTGAATGAGAAACAGAGAGCTTCTCAAGGACAAGAGTAGGTGTTCTTAGAAAACTTTCACCAGATGAGTGTAGAATAAAAAGTTTGGAAAACGGTGAATGACGAGCTGCAAACAGGATGGCGCTTTGTATCAGGCCTAACCTAGCGACACTGTATCTGATTTAAAATGCAGCCGGTTGTTCAGAGCCCTATAAAACAGATGTTTCACCGCCCACCCAGATGGTAAAAAAATGATTGTGTACAGTTACCCCCCAAGCATACGTTTTATGTACGGCAGTGGTAAGACAGAGAAAGGAGACAAAACTCACAAGTCAGGATTGCATTACAATACTGCATCAACAATGACACTTTATTCACAAGTTGTTTACACCGATAGAACAAAATATCTTCTGTTTTTGTTTTTATTTTGTTTATGTACAGTGTTAATGCAACAGACCAGCCATCTATTGATATTTGATATTGAATTTGTGAAAGAAATAACAGCATTGGGGGATATGACCTACTGAGCATCCTTCATGAAGAAAAAACACCCATAATAACAAGTTTGACTCATTAAAAATGGCCGGTAGAATCAGATAATTTCACTTTCACTTATTTCCAAATCTTTATAACATACATGACAGTATCTTTAAAAAGGCAGACAAATTAAGATCTCGTTCTACATCAAACAAGCTGTTATAAGGAGCATTTCTTGCAGCATGTTTCACTTTTGTGATGAAAAATGGAGTCGATTCCAACAACATGACACCGGCTTGCTGCAGTGTTGCATCATATTGATACTGCACCACCTTTTAACTCGCTTTAACCATGATCTGCACTGTTTAAAGATGATAATCCTTGGCTTTTGCACTGTTAAGGTGCACTTGGAGCTTCTTGTGCAATACATGGTCTCAAATAAAGTGAAGAGATAAACCAACATTTGTTTGTTTGCTTGAAGAGCTTTGCTAAGATCGTCTTGAGGCCACAGGAAAGTACAGCGCGCTAAGTAAATAGCCATGCACTTGTAGCATAGTGTATGCAAGTCATATTATTGGTGATTCAGATGCGATTGGACAAACTGAACTAGAATTTGAACGACAGGATCTGTCAGCCAATCAAAAGTAGTGAAATTAAGTTGATTTTAAACAAACTATGAGCTGGTTTCCCAAAGTCATCTTCATGGATGTGTTCACCCCAAATGTTAGTAGTGTTTTGTTCTCTTGAGCTCTGTTCTCTTAGAACTAGCTTTGAATGTTATCCAAGTCAACAAGAATTTACCACAAAACTACCACAAGTAGTTTGTGAGTAGTATTATTTCTCTCAGCCCAAAAACGCAGTGGTTTATGGGTAAAACCACATATTTTCCTTGAGAGATCTCTTGTGTTGGGAAAGCCAAGAAAAACAAAATGTCCAATACACAGGCTTCTTATGAATAATGTGACTGTTGTTTAAAAGCCTAAGCAGGCCTCTAATTGTGCAGTGGGAGTCTTAAATAAGCCAAGTACAAAAATACACCACCGCTCAGACTAGTGTGAGTGATTGCATCTAATGCATGACGGAAAGTAGCCACTGGTTTCCATTCATTTCCATACAATCGGATAATCAACTAGCAGACTCTTCAAAATCCACTCTGCATTATCTTGTAACAATAATTACTCCACTAATAGACTCTTATCCTGGACAGAAAACGGAAACCAACAGGCTGCTTGGAATATAGGTTAAATAACACGTTCACAAGACGGGAACATGATTTGGTTAGCAGCAACGTAAAGAACAAGTAGTTTGTAGTAAACGGGTTTAAACATGCTCCTTTCATTTACTACAGAACAAAAACCTAGCTAGTCTCAAGATGGTTTTGGGAAAACCAGCTAACGAGTGTCACTGCAAACTAGTTTCAATGCAATACAGGTTCAGCTACTGTACATGTACAAATCATCCATTAATGCTACATAGAATAACTGCTATTCAGAAGCAAGACTATCCTCTTTTATCATAAAAGTTCTAGTCAGAGACACTTTATTCTAAAATGGCCTCATTCCACTGCTCTGTAGTTCAAAGTAATTAATGATTCATTATTTAAAGAACACAATTCACACTTCTCTCACAAACTTTTGGACAGATGGTAACTTCCTGCCCCCAGATTATTAAAAGACATCACGTTCTTCAGTGTTTATCAGAGTGATTTTCATTAAGTAGCAGCACAGCAAACCTTTAATCCACAGGTTAATCCGCTGGAATAAGGCCAGTTTAAAATGAAGGGTTGCACACTAGCACTTATTTCCAGGTGGCTGGACACACTTACCAGTCCATCTACTGTGTTTTTATTAAGGCAGACATGAGTGTAACTTCACTGACAAGCCACAATATTGGTTGTCCACAAGAAATAACGATTCAGGTTGAAGAAACACAATATTGCTTCTACTGGGATAATGAAAATTACACATTGAAAAAAATATATATCCATGTTATTTCACCTCACATTCTGTACCAGCATCTATTATTTTTCTTAAAATAAGTAGGAAATTGCAGATGTTTCATGGAGTTGCTCCACACTTTGGAAACAACACCCTACTGGCAGTTTTTCATCACTTGCTGTTAAGAAAAATAATCCTCAACGGGCGATGAAATCACATTTTTAGAGTATTTTGCCTCATATCTACCTTACTGGCATGGATGAGTTACACTGTGACACTCTAGCGTACTGCATGAAAACATATCAGAAAGCATGGCACTAAAAATCAGACACAAATACAATTTTTGTGATACGAACATGATGATCAACATCACACACACACACACACACACACACACGCACACACTCATAAGACCAGTCAAGGGCGTCAATTTGGTGAAATGGCAAGGTGGGAAATACTTACACTGAACATTATTTGGGAAATTATATGCATATCTAGGGCCACAGGTAATGATTGTTTTCATTACTGATTAATTTCTGGACTTAGTTTAGTCAATATAGTTTCAGAAAATGGTGAAAAATGTCCCAAGATGATATCGTTAAATTACTAGTTAGTCAAACCCACATTTATTCAATTTAGAATTATAAAAACATAAGTTTTCATTTTGATAAAAGTGATTTTGGTTGGATGGTCAGAGCTTTAGTACAACTACAATGATAATGATTGCCAAATCCTGCCATACCCAACTGACGCCCATGAGGTCAACCTCGTCTAGAAACATAAACTGTGATAAATATACTCTTAACAGAACATAGAGAAACACTTTTATCAAGCTATCAAAACATGTTTAAATGTCACTTTGGAAAACAGGCTGCATGGATTGTTTACAATAGAAGGAAGGTCTATCTATGTACAGGATTGGTTCAACGGTTTCCTGGCACAATGTTTACTTAGATGGAAGGTGAGAGGGAGATGAGAAGAAGTGAAAGAAAGAACTAAGAGGAGAGGAGGCAGGAGGAGAATGAGGAAACAAAGGGAGAGAAAAGGAGGAGATATTTGGAAATAGAAGATGAAGGATTGGATAAAAGTAAAGAATGAGACAATCGACATTTGGAGGACACAAGAGGAAGTAAAAAGGAAAAGGTTGGTAAAGACAGAAAGAAGAAAACAGGGAGGAACAAGACAACGTGAAAGAAGAGGAGAGGAGGAGTGGACAGGAAATACAAGACAAAATTAATAACAATTGGACCGAAGGAAGAAAAGGAGACCGGTGAAACAGGGATGACATGTAGGACAAGACAGAAGGGGAGAGGAGAGGAGGAAACATAAGTAATAATTGGGACCATCCTCTAGGTGAGATAGTAGAGGAGGATGAGGAGGTCCATCAGAAGGAGGTGCTCCTTCCTACTGTGGAAGAGCTTTCAGAATGGCGTTCACCTCCTCCGCAACGGCCGTCAGCGCAAACTCAAACTGGTCCTGCAGAGAGACAAAGAAAAGGGAAAAAGTTTAAAGTACTGAAACACACTTGGAGGAGCAACAGTCTGGAGTGAAGTGTATTAGTCACAAGTTTAATTTCAGGGATACGAGCTGCCAAAGAACCCTTTTGCAAGATGATGAACCTGGTGTTCAACAACTTGGGTGATCAGCTTTGGCTAGTTCACAAAGTCCTACAAAATGCTACTTTTGTTCCTAACACTTGTATAGTTTCAGTTCGATTTACTAACTGAAATCTCTCTGAACAGTGTCCTCTCGGTGTCCAGCTGAGAGAAACTCTGAGTTGATAAAAAAAAAAATCTTGATACATTACTAACTAACACCTCAGTTGAAAATCATGAGCATTAATCTGCAGCCTGGTTTCAGTGAAGAGCACCAGTGAGCACTAATGTTGGATGATGAGTTCTGGCTCTCAGTCGGCGTTCCAGTTCATCCCAAAGGTGTTAGAAGGGGTTGAGGTAGGACTCTGGGAGTGTGAAAACCAATTTCTTCATGGAGCTGGCTTTGTGGACGTGGACATTGTCATGTTGAAGGGACAAACACAAACCATTGCCACAACCTTAAAGAAAGCCTCACATCAAAGGTATGTGAAGATGTATGGAAAAGGGTGCGTTTATTGCCCCGGGTTTTGCCTCTCAGGCTACATACATGCTTCCTTAACATCCCCCTGATTGATGGAGGGATGTATGCTGCCTGAGATTAAACCGGCAAACATTACTCAGGGCTAAAAAAATACACTTTTTGGTTTCAGACCAAATCCAAGTACTTACATGTATACTTGGCAATATCGAGTACCGATATGAGTACAATGACTTTGAAAACATGATTTAGATCAGATGTTCACTTTCTGACTTTGACAAATTAAACGGTGCTAATGTTTCCCCTTCGTCTACCTGCTCAGCAAAGCTTTGGTTCTCTGCCCGAACCCGGTAGGACCCCAAACAACCTGCTGGATCAGGCACAGGTACAAAACTTTTGTGGTGTGGGCTTGGTTTGGGTTTTTTGCCTGATCAGAGCTCTACTGCTCAGCTAACAAAGGGTTACGCATTATCCCGCTGCCATAAAGTGGCATCAGGCGCAGTATCAGAGTAGTTTTATGATTACAATTACGAGTACATAAGCATAGTATTAGATCTGATAACTGTTTCAATATATCAAGTAATGATAATGTGCTCAAAAAAGCATGCTAGAATTACATAATAAAACATTAGGCAGCAAATAACAGTGGTATGTGTTGTTACAGCTTTATCTAAAAGTCATATTTAGTTGTGTTTAGAAGACCTACACATGCTTAACCTTTAGTTTATTGTATCAGTCCAGGAAGCGGAAGATTAATGGTCCAAACAACACCTTCCCTCATCAAAATCAGAAATGAAATCCGAGTGCTGAGGCTGGGACTCCCTGACCACGAGGGGAATCAATGTGTGAGAGAGCCGTGACAGCAGCTTGCTCAGGATACATGGTTTAATAAAGCCCCGATCGATACCACCAATGTTTTACACACATCCTGGCTTTTCTTTCTAATTATGTTCACAGATCAGCCGGTAATTGAAGTTTCCAGACCGACCAGGCATCGGCCTGCGTACAGTGTGACGAGGAATGACTCTAGTTGTTTCAGGTAAAGCTCTGAGGTCTGTGCAGAAGTGTGATTTACGGTATGTGGTCATTTTGTTGAAAGGGGTTCCTAACTTTACAATTTGTTTAACTTTGTGACCTCTACCGTTCACTCAAATAATAATTCTCCATGGTTCTCCAGAGTGTCAACCCCCCATTTGAATTCTGTCCATATTCTTCTGTGATCTGGGCAGACCTGACTATAATACCTGTTCAATTACTTTTTAGAAATCGATTGATCTTGCCTGATGGTGGAGGAATGAGTGGCAAAAAACTGCAAATCCAGCCTAACTCAGAAACAAGGAATAAAGACTACCAGCCAACCTGAAACTTTCCAACATAATGAAGTTTTAAGGGAGGCTCGACTGATAAAGAGAGGCCGTACTGTGACGGGAAGGTCACAAGTTTGACCCCAGCAAACTGTCAACGATGAGATGACGTGTCAAACCCCTCACACAAGGTTTTTTTTTCCTCCTGACAGTGCAGAAGCACCTTTAGGATTGACAGAGGACACCTGTCTGTTAGACAATGTGCTTACAATGACCTTTGCTTACGGTTTGTAACTAGCGTGCCGTTCTCATCGGCGTTGGGGAAGTTAGTGATGCAGCAGTGGCGCTTTCAGTAGACCAGTAATTGTAATGTAATGACTGCAAATCTAACAGTAATGGAATATATTTCATCACAGCTACTACAGCCTTCACTGCAATGAATTCGCCCAATGAATAACACCAAAAATGATGTAATGTCACAGGTCAACGTGACTAATAAATAAATATTGATCAGTGCGATCATGAGACCGATGATACATTTTGTAATCTTGCAGTGTTAGGTGATGGCACACTGTTAAAATAATTATTTCTCCATTCTTAAATGCAGGACATCACTGTTTTATCTTACACTGGTGACCTCATTTAGAGCCTAGTAGTGATCAGGGTTGGCGCCGCTGTATCAAAGTCAATGTATTAATTACAACCAAACTTATCAGAAAAATCAACACTTGAACATACATCATCAAATATATCATCAAGAGTCCCATCTGCTAATATGGAGGCAGCGGGCTTTATGACATGTACTGCAGTCCGCCACCAGGGGGCGATCAATATATTTTGGCTTCACTTTTTGGGAGCTGTAATTTCCTCCATCTTTTATATGTGGATGGGCACATGCTGTGTGTAAAATTCCTTTCTTTACCTATGCTATGTGCATATTAAAGCAATGACCTCATCACACTCTTTAAAGTGTAAATGTTAGATTGTTAAAATAGCTTCTGTTTTTACAGTGTATCACTTTCTGCCACAAGTCAAACGTTTTCCACCTGAACGGACAGATCGGTGTGTGTGTGTGTGTGTGTGTGTGTGTGTGTGTGTGTGAGTGTGTTACCTTGGTCTGAACCATTCCCGGCCTCTGGTCCCGCAGGTGCTCCAGAGTCGCTGCAATATCAATCTCCTTGGCACCTGTGATACGCACACACACAAACAAACAAAAGCACACACATATGAAACGGTGTTGGATTGTGTTCAAAGCGCCACCAAGATAATCCAGCTAACATCTGTCAATCTGGTGTTTTATACCGACTCCCTTCAGAACAGAGAAAGGCGATTACATTCATCCTCTTTGCTCAAACAAACACACACACACAGACTCTACAAACTGCTAGGTGGTGGAGTTTTGTTGTCGGGATAAAAAAAGATAAAGAGGGAAAAGAAACTGTTGGAGAGGACTTTGTGAGGGAAATCACAGGCCCGCATGTTTGTGGCCTTTTCTAAAAGAAACTGAGCCGATCTTAAAGCTCCTTGTTGGGCTTTGATAGTCGTCCTGTAGCCTTTGAGCTCATGAAGGTTGCCCACCAGAGCTCTGTTAGCCCCTGCCAAAATCTGACATGCCTCTGTGTGTGTGTGTGTGTGTGTGTGTGTGTGTGTGTGTCGGGGTCCCCTGTATATTTGCCAATCAGCCTCACTGCGTGCCAGACTGGCAAGATGCCCCACAGCTAACGAAAGTGTGGCCGCCGGCAGTCGGCTGAATGACCTCTGGCCAAACAGCAGTCAGATTAGCAGACATTGTGATATATTACAAACAGATTATTACCTCGTTTAGAGACAAACACAGAGAAACTGCGCTTGAAGTGCACTAACATCAGGAAAACCTGGAAATTAAATAAAATGAGCAAATATTCTGGAAATGATCCATGTTGTCCTGGCTTTTTTTGTATTTTAGCTCTTCATTCAGATTGCCTACACAAACCTCGGAGCGGAGGATAAACGGCATTTAGCAGACGCAAAGTGGAACTGACTTGCAGTCATGTTTTTAATCAAATTTCTTGTTGCTGTGGTTGATAAATATCTGCACTGTAACGTTAATTGCACTTTCTAGAGGAGGAATTTTCTGTAAAATAAGATTAATTCTACTTGATTTGAGCAGTTTATATGACTGCTTGTAAGCAAGAGATGTCCTGTATTGTGTAAGATGGGTCCCTCTGTCATGTGACAAATGTATTAATTAGCTTCATGTTAGTGAGGATCTGTCTAAAGTTTAGTGTCGCGTCAACAACCAGGCAGTATCTCTGTTTTTCTGTTTCTAAGACAATACTCGGTAAGTTAACCTTTTACCTCATTTCTCTTTTACAACCCAAATCCATTTGTCATCATACACGCTCACAGCGCTTTATATACCTTGAAACTCCTCAGATCATTTCTGTGCTCGGTAAATCAGCTTTTAGTTGGTTTTTTTTGCACCAAATAAATGGAATAAATTACAAGAGGTATTAAAACTGGACAGGTATGTGTCAGTAGATCGTTTTAAGTGCTTATATGGACATTTACTGTTTTTATCTGACCTTTTTAAAGTATCTATCTATCTGTCTGTCTATCTATCTGTCTGTCTATCTATCTATCTATCTATCTATCTGATGCCCTGAATAAACAATTGTTTTGAAATTTGATTGAAATATTTTATGGGGTGACCCTTATTTTGGCACTCTTCACTCCAGTGCGAGCATTTAAAAGCATTTCAATGTGAAAACCTTCTTAAGGACTTCTTCTTCTTCTACTGTAACATATTTTGGCTGTATTTGTATCTTGTTGTTGATTTTAGTTATTCTTACTATTTGTAAAGACACAATTATGAGTGGAAATTACTGTTCATCTCTTAGTGAACATCTCTCTCTCATAGTAACTTATATTCAAGTGTTTTTTATATTATAGGTTTTAGTGGAAATGGAAACAAAAATACTTAAATAATAATAATAAAAATGGTGACCAGTAATGTATTTATTTAACAAATGGCTAAAGGGAGTTCTGAGGTTTGATTATCTTAAAGTGGATGAAATGAAGATGAATGAATAATATATTACATAATCTTTATATATATTGATGTGACTTCACTGAACAACATTTCTGTCTAAGACTAATATCTGCTGGCTGGCAAATAAACTTTATCTTACTTCTATAACTCACATTTAAAATGACCTCATAATGCTAGAGGAGCAAAACTAATAACTACAGGTAGCGAACCATTAGCTGACAGAAGGAGCAGGAAGACAGAGACGATGTGAAAAGAGTGGAGGTAAAAATAGATGTTAAGGGGGAAGGAAGACATCTCAAAGAAACAGAGAAACAGTTGAAGACTGGGAGGGAAGAGAGAGAGAGAGAGAAAGAGAGAGAGAGCAATAATTAAATCTACAAAGAACAAGAGAAAGAAAAAAAAACATTTAATTTGTTTTCTGTCTACCCGTTTTTCTCCTCCTCTTCTTCCTCTATCAAAATTCTGAGGAAACCAAAAGCGCAAGAATTCTCTTTACTTTTCTTCTTGTTGTGACACATAATAACACTTCTTCTTTCTCTTGCCCGCACCAAGAGGGAAATGAATGGTGGGAGAGCTGCTCATTCACACCATTTTCTTATTCTGTTTCACAGGTTTTGTGGGCTTTTTTTTCTCCTTCTTTTTACAACACAATAGACCCCCTTCTAGCCAGGAAAGCTGCAACACACTACTCACTGCTTTAGTTTGTCTTTTTTTGGGGGGGTGGGGGAGAGACTTAACAAGCTGAGGGCTATTGTGCAGGTTCTGATAAACCTCAAAATGGACGGTATTAAAAAAAAAAAAAAAAATCGCCTTATTCGAGCCTCTCTCTTTGCAAAACTCTCTCTTGAAGGAGATGGTGGAGGGATGAAAAAAAAGAAGGGGGAATGGTATAAAAACCCCGGCCTCATTTTGAACTTCCCTCCTCGGCAAGACCCTCGCTTCAGAGTGGAGGTCGCCGAGTAGGACTGAGGAGGGTGGGAAGGGGGTGTATAGAAGAGGAGAACGAGGAGAGAGAGATAGAAAAAAAGAAAGACAGGACCCTTAAGGAGGCCGCAAAAGACCCCCGAAAGCTGGAGCCGGGCTCACCAGCTGGACCTGGGAAAAAAAAAGAAACGGAGGGATGCTGAAAAGCTCTCCGGCAGTCGATGGGTTTCATTCGATTCTTAAGATGAAGAGAAGGGTGGCGGGTGGTGGTGGTGGGTGGTGGTGTGTGAGAGGGTGGTGTGTGTGAGGGTGTGTGTGTGTGGGGGGGGGCATTAGAAAGAGGAGGGAAATGAGGGAGCCTTTTTGGAAAAGAAGAAGGGAAAACAAAAACGTGAGAACCACAGCAATACCTCCTCAACCCTGCAACACCGCCATAATACTCGGACGAATTTACAATTTATTCCTTGGGAGAAAAGGAGTGGGAACGGAGAGAAAGGGGTGAAGAGGAGGAGGAGGAGGAGGAGGAGGAGGGAGGGTGAGGGAAACTGGAGTGATTTTGTGTCTGAGAGGGAGGAAGAAGAGGAGGAGGAGGAGGAGGAGGAGGAGGTGGGAAGTGTCTTTGATCAGGATGGGGGAAGCCTGCAAACCTGGGGGCCTCTAGCTTCTCAGGACAGACAAAAACCTCCAAAATAAGGGGGGTTGAAGAGCTGAGGGCAGGGATGTAGTGGAGGGAAAACCAGCCAATATTTCAGAGGAAGAGATTTTATGAACCATAGTTAATCACTGAGGTATAATTCTATGTGATATAAACTGATACATTAAGACTTATCTGGAAATCAAACTGATTTATCCTTTTTTGATGATCAGTGACTACATGTTAGTCAACCTGTATTCTTAACACTGGACCAGTAGAAGAAGTGTGGAGTCGCTTTATTTAAAGGGATAGTTCTGTTTTTTTAGGTGAGGTTGTATGAGCTACTTATCCATCAGTTTATTACCAACAGTAGACAGCGGTCGGAACAATCCCCAGTTTGGAGAATCAGACAGGAGTACCGGCATGGAAACTTTCATGTTGTGTTGTTGTTTCCACCGTCTCCTTTCGTCTGATTTCGAGGGGAATTCGACCCGGGGGCAGGCATTACGGCGTTAGAAAGAATAACTACACACATCATGATTTTGGGTTTGGTTTGCTTGTTTCCTGTTTTATTTTGTAATTCCCTTCTTCTTTAATTCACTTCCTGTCTTTGTCTGTTCTCCTTCCAGTTTTGTTTATCTGCCCCGCCCTAATTATTTTAGCTTTGTCCATGTTCCCTCGTTGGATTGTTGATATGACGACGTTGGAAAGTCAGGATTGGACTCAAATGCAAGACCGTACAGGAAGCAGGATGATTTTGGTGATTTAATATAATAATTCCATAAACAGGTACAAGAAATGAAAAGGCAATAAATCCAACACGAGAACACAGGGGGGAAAAACCACTGAATGAAGGGAACACACAGATTAAATACGCAGGTGAAGGGAAGGACAGCGAGAGGCAGGTGAAAATAATCAGGGCAGGAAACGAGAATTACAAAATAAAACAAAATGAAACAAGCAAATCAAACTCAAAATCATGACAACATAGAAATGTAAGTAGGTCATATAAAGGAATCAGTATTAAACCGAACCTTGTAGTACATTTAAGTAAAAGTATTAGCTGACTCATCATTTTAAGTACTACTGAGCCTATTAAAGTCTTCTGCGGCTGTGGAGGATCTTTGTATGAGACAATAATCCTGATGAGGTCATGAGGGTTGTTTCAGTTTGGGTTTGGAGACAACATCTGAGAAAAAAGCCTGTGTAAAAAAATTGGGGTTGTGTAGTTTGAAAGAAGTTTAGGGAGCGTCTAACAAAAAACGGTTTGAGTTGCATTATGAGTGGTGTAGTGTTTTTGGTTTTCCTGCCTTTATATTGGACTATTATTATTATTATTATTATTATTATTATTATTATTGATGAAAGCATCATTTCAATGGTATGGGGCTATTTTTTACTTCGTTACTATTGATTAGGTTTTGACGAAATATCTTAATATCAAAAAATGAAATTACTATAAAGTTGTTTAACTACAGTTGTCAGATTAGTAAAAAAGTACAATATTTACACAACTTGATCTGTACTTTGTATTCATTTTTGTAATTGTGGAGGAAACTAGTTTGGAAGATGGAAACATTCAGCGGCTGGAAATATTCACATTAGTTAGATTTTAATCGTGTACGTCTCAATTTTGGGTAGAAGGAACAGAAGTACCAATTTTGTGTTGAGTAGCAGAAAAGTTACATAACTAATAGTGTAACAAATTACTGTTGGCGGGGAGCAATAAGCAAAGTAATTATATATTAAACCTTTTGAGAAAGTAGCCCAACACTGCTGAGATACCAGAGAAATTAAAGAGAAATGCACACTGAAACTCCCAAACACCACACAAATATTGTGTCATTACTGTCAGGTGAGATTCTCGCAGAACTCCATTTTTGGGGATTTTCACGTTTTAACTTGAGGGATTACATGTTCCTGTGCGGGGTTTAGCAGATTCCACGACGCTTCAGGGTTTATGAAACCTCCTCTAAAAGACAGAAGGCTGTAAAAACTCAAAACAAAGCTCTGTTTTCTAACACAGAGATTTCACATTGCGTTATAGTTGGTGAAATCCACTTTGATCCTCACAATAAACTGCTTTAACACCTCACACACATCCTGATCTTGGTCTGATCCTGTCAGGTGTTTTCCTACTCAAACAAATAGCCTGGTCTCATTGACAAAGACCGAGCTCATCAAACATTCTCTTTATGTATCTCAGAGTACACCAAAAAGGGTTTTCTTTTTATCTTATTCTCAAAGTAGTGCTCCTAAACATAAATGTGAAGCAAAAGATAAAGCTCTGGTTTTAGCAGCTTGAACTCACAAACAGAGAGAAGAAATTAAGTTTTCAAAATAAATCAAAACAGCAGCGAGCGATAATTCGCAGACGACACCCTAATGATACCTGAGAGGTGAAGTTATATCATCCTGCCTTTGGGGGCTGCTAACTAGTGGAGTTGGCTTGCAATAAAATGAAATTAAAATTAAAATAAACATCATAAAATGTCAATATATGTTTCAGAAGAGCAAGTTGTTGTTAGTGAGATATTTTTTATTATAAAAAACAACATTTTCTGTTAATAATCTTTTATTTTTTTGCTTCACTGGAAGGAACAATCTATGTTGAGAACTTTTTCTTTCAGAATAAATTTGGGATACTATACTCCCACCAAGCCCCGCCCTTTCCTCCCCCGACCCTGGATGCTGAGGAGGGGTGCCGGGGCCCCCTGATCATGGTGTGACAGCCTGGGGAAAGGCCCCTGTTGCCTGACTGAACCTTTGATCTGGAATTAAAGACCCAGGAGCTCGTTCTGCTACAGCAGCAGCACCGCTATGGGACACTTCACACACACACACACACGCACACACACACACACACACACACACACACACACACACACACACACACACATATACACACATACACACACACGTATAATCTGTGTAAACTGCTGTGGCTTCTATCTTTACTTCATATGGATTTAAAAATAACTGGAAAACCAACTAATGGTCAAATCCTTATATAATCTCATTTTACCACCTTAACATTATATATGATGTTATGAAGCTTGCATTCCTTTTCTACAGTGTGTTAGAGGAAGTTAGTTCACAACTTGTCCTATGTAGTAATTACACTTGAGAAGTCGCACATTCTTTCAAACAACTTAAATAAAGTCTTCTATTACACTCTACGCAGGACTTTTAATTTGGAGACCATCAATGGCTAGCTAATATAATAGCTAATATATGTAATATAGCCATAAAGTATAGTGCTATGGGGTGGATTGTAAGCCCTAAATGAACTTTAGGAACTGACACTTAATTTGACATTATGTCGTGAATTGCCACTGCCCCATGAAATATTCAGTCCCCTGCATAATTACTACACTGTGTTTATTATATCATTCTGTAATTATAGTAATTATCATGCACTCACAATGTGCTTACAATGCGAGTCCTGATGACACTTCAGATAAAATGTTCACGGTCAACTCAGTTTGTAGGTTGTTTAAAAGTGGGAACTTACTCCTTAACAAAACTCTTTTTCCACCAATTATTCCACCTCTTTTCCTTCCTTTAGCTCTCTTTTTCTCATCATACAGTGGAAGTAGCATCTTCTTTTAGAGTTTAAATGTATTTTATTGGCATGGCAGTGTGATGCCAAAGCAGCAGAGAAAATTAAACCGTTATTAATTTACTGTAATTAAGCAAAAACTAGTAAATATGAGTGTTTTCTCTGGCTCAGGTGCAACAGTTAATGGAAAATATTATTATTTTGAACTACTCATCACTGTAATTATCTCGTTAGAAATCATTATTTTTAATGATCATTATGCAATTTTATAAAAATAACTAAGATAAGATTGATAATATTTTAACAGCAGAGTACAGTGGGGGGGGGGGGGTGTTGCCATGGTAACACCCACCTTTAGCCATCTTGTTGAGGACCATGTCGACAAGGATGTAGGTCCCACTTCTTCCTGAACCGTCACTGCACGGGTGGGCGAGACCAAGACACAGAATCAGGGTGGGAGGAGAGAGAGAGAGAGAGAGAGAGAGAGAGAGAGAGAGAGAGAGAGAGAGAGAGAGATTAATTATTACAGATTATTACTTTCATCAGTTAATATGTTTCATTATCATTTTACACAACATAGCTTTTCTGCATTGCACATATCTTTCTTTCATGATAATAAAGAATATTTGTAGCATTGTTATAATAAAAACATGAGTATGGGGTATGAAAACCTCTGTATACACTACATCAAGGTTTTATTGCATATAATCTTTACTTGCTAATTGCCTACACATTCTCAGCCCGTGTCGTCAAATACTGATGCCGTTTTATCACGGCCCTCGGTGTCTCATACAGAAGCACAAGGTACTCTTTAGCGCCTGTATGAGACGACTTTTTAACGCACTTAAGGTTGTGAAACACAGTTTCGGTTCAGCAACAAACAAGGACCCCGGTCTCCTGGGTGAAAGTCTTTGTTTGTTTGATCATAGTGGCATCTAACGGTGAAGCTGCAGATTGCAACTAACTGAACACCACTGGCGTCTGTATTTGACGACCTGGGAGTGAAATGGCCGTGAGAAAAAACAGACAAAACGATCTAGAGTCAGTGTTTGGTTTGTCCGTTCTTGTAGAAACATGGTGGTTCAATATGGCGGAGTCCACGGAAGGCGACCCGCGGTGTTAAAACGCCCATAAATAATGTAAAAAACGTCTCATTCTGAGGCAACAAAAACAATAAATCTTATATTCAGGTGATTATACACTAATGAAAACATAATACCTATGAATATTATATTCCATTTCTGCCAGTAGATCATCACTGGACCTTTACAAAGCCTTTCACTACCTTACCTGACATTAACTACATTGGAGTTATATGACAGCCCACTCCGTCTCAAACTGAGGCTAAAGGCTACTTTGTGCGGCTGTATGGAGACACGTGACAAAACGACGGTATTTGACGCCCTGGGAACGAGGTCGGACTGTGACGGACGGAGCTAAACTCATCTATTGTAGTTGCTTTTCACTAAAGTACATTCTGGTCTCGTGATGGACATTCCTTTATAAACTGTTGTAACTATACATTTGCAGAGGGTGCCTCTCTGCAGTTTTCTATTATGTAAAATATTACGTTTGAAGTTCATTTTCAAGGTGAGGAAGCCAAGATTAAACTCAACTCTGAGATGTTTAATTTTATTGCTGCAACTAATGAACCAGCTGTTGTTTTCATCATTTCTATAACACCTGTATTAGCTCCATTATGCATTAAATTAGGTAAAAATGTGACCTATTAAGTTTTATTTCCTTCTGGTCACAGATAATATTGTCATAAAACTGCACAATCCTCAAAGTTTTCCTTTCCAGCTTCACATGGAAAGACTCTTTGATGCCTGAGAGCTTCACATGCTGCTACAGTTTGATGGGTCCGAGTAAAGACAGTGAACCTGCTCAGCCGCTGTTGTTGTGTATATTCTGACAGCGTCAGCAAGCCAAACCTACAGTTACAGTCTTTGTTTTCTTGCCATGATCTTCCATCATGTTGACTTTTACAAGTTTAGTCTGACAGCACTGTATTTTTATCCAGACAAGGACGAATAAACATTCTCTCTGTGCCTGCTGATGCAAATTCAGACTGTGAACAAGTGAAAATGATTGAATTTGAAATGTTAACAGGCATTTAGAGGAACTTGGCAGCATTGCTGGCAAGTCAGCAATCCCACCGCTGCTGCGAGATTGCACAGTAAAGTTATATAATCTGAATAACACACACCCACCGATTTACTGTAACAACACAGCTTATTTTGTGTCCTTCATATTCATGTTATTGTTGTTGTTTTTTTACACACAGATTTAACCTGACTCTAGTTAACCAGGTGAGCAGCAGTCAAAGAGATTTAATATGTCAGGGTTTGAGTCCTTTAATGCTATTTCAAGGGGATAAACAACTTCAAAGGCGTATAATTATGGAACAGAAAGGTTGAAGCGTGTTTTATTTTGGTCAGGAATAAAAAAAACATCAGTGTTTATTTGACACAGACGTAAATGCATGTTCTCCTATTCTTAAAAAAAATAGAATATATATATATATATATATATATATATATATATATATATATATATATATCAAAAAGTGACAACACAAAGTGAACACGGTGCACACAAAAAGAATCAGACTCTGTAATGTATGTGGAGGGAATATTTTGTATCCTAGATTTATTTCAAGTGTTGAAAATTGATGTCTGCACCCCTACCAGTCTATTTCATGGGCTGGTGTGTAATCCAGCAAACTCAAGTGTGTGTGTGTGTGTGTGTGTAAGTGTGTGTGTGTGTGTGTGTGTGTGTGTGTGTGTGTGTGTGTGTGCGCGTGCTGGCATGCGTCCATACTTCTTGAATATTTCATTTTCACTAGGGCCTTGGTTATTTTCTGCAACCCCCCCCCCACACACACAGCTGTATATTCCAACACACCCAGTGGCAATAATTGAGCAGTACCTCCGCAGTATCAGTGTGTGTGTGTGTGTGTGTGTGTGTGTGTGTGTGTGTGTGTGTGTGTGCCTTCTACACAGATACTACTATCACTCTGATCTTAGACAGTTTGTGTGTACGTCCGTGTGTGTGTGTGTGTGTGTGTGTGTGTGTGTGTGTGTGTGTGTGTGTGTGTGTGCATCTCGTACAGGTTATTACGGCGAGATTAGATCTGTCGTATCGCTGCACCTTGCCAGGATCATTACAAGGCGATCAAAGATATGTGATATGTGATTTGTGTGAGTGTGTGTGTGTGTCAGCAGAAGCCTGAGGGCTGTGAGTAAACACGTCAAGATGTCTGCTGCCTTCTCTCACTCTGTTTAAAATGAGAGACAGCGATAGAGCGGGAAGGGAGAGAGAGAAAGAGTGAGGGGGAAGGAAAAGACGACGAGATAGAAAGAGATATGGAAGATAGAAAATGGTAAAGAGAGGCAGAAAGCCAGAGAGAAAGAAATGAGGAAAGACAGAGAAGTTCTCTGAATGCTGTGTGATTATTGAATTTCTGCATCTGCACTCTTCTGTTCGCTCACTTCTCATCCTGATTGCTTCACTCTGCTCTCTGTATACATTAGGGTGATGAATGGCTGTGCACAGTCGGGTTTGACACACTTGTTTGAAAGCTCTAAGTAAAAGTCTGCAGGATGAGTTTCTCAATCCTTTCATTCCTACATCCTCAGACGTGATTGGCCGGTTGGGTTTGGTCCCAATCTGAGGAATACAAGTGAGAATATCGTTCTGGTGACGGACATTAACGCCTGCGGTTCGAAAAAGCCACAAGGCCTGACGACAAACAGCTGCAAAGATCTTAATAAGCGGATGAACACAACAGGAACTTGGACTCCTCATTAAACAAAATGGTACAGCACATTTTCAGGCATTATATTGGCCAAAATAATCATCAAAATATACTTAATTCTTTAAAAACGGCATTAAAATCACTTTACCTTACATTTTGTTAAGAAACACATATATTTATAGCATCACTGATAGGCACCTCATCTCCCTGTCCTTTATTTTGGAATCTAAACTTTTTCCACACATCCAGCTGTTGGGGATACAACGGGCACGCCGAGCCTCCAGCCATGGTGACAGGCTGAGGGCACCATGTCCCCTTGTGCAAATTGAATCAGGAAATCAATATAGGACTGTATGCTGGACAGCTTTTTTAAGTCAAAACATTTTTGGATATTCACGTTTTCACATGTTTTTTAATCGCTATACACGACAATATCGGATATCCCGTCCCTAGTGAAGAATTCCTGCTCTTCCTGAAGCCGTATGACTCAATTTGATGATAGGTGACAAGAAAAATGAGTTTCCGGTGAGTCCTTATATCTACGCTGTGTGTGTACGTTAGCTGGCTGTTTGTGGTGAATAAATACAGACTGCATTAAAGTGTTTGCCTCATGTGAAAGTGAATACATCACAACAATAAGAGCTGTTGGAGACAGATTCTGTCCTAGACGTTCTGACTGATCACACTTAATTCAACACCTTTACATACATTAGGTGTATGTGTGATGGTGCTATTAAATTAAAATTCTAAACCAGGTAACAAACCATCAACTGGAGCTTTTACTCTGTTTCGAAGCATTTTCATTTACTCATAAAGTCGTAAAGGTAACTGAGGAACTTCAGGATGATCAAGCTGTGGCTCCATAAAATCAGGTTTCGTACTCTGGTGCAGTCTGGCAATTTAGCCGAGAAATGTACAGTTTCATCATCCTGGAAGCGCCATTACACCATATTAAATAATAGATCACTTACTGGAGCAGCGAGCAGACAGATATAATGGCTATCTGTTATGGAAGTTTTTTTTTTTTCCTCTAATCCAATCGGGCTGTTTTCACAGAAAAAAAAACTGTGGCAGATTTTTCTGTTAAATACAGATTTAATTATGTCTCACTGGTCTGAATTATTTCCTCAGATGGTGGGGGTATGCAGATGTGATATCACACACATACACAAACACAACAGCTGCAAATCTGCCCACTTCTATTCACCCCTCTCTCCCTCTCACCCACTGGCTCCGACCGACACACTGCAAACTTTAAAGCGCCTCCAATTAAAAGTTACCCTCCTCCGTGGACAGTTTGTCAAATTAAATCATGAACTTTTTGGCTAATTTCTCATTTTGAATGTTTGTCGTCCTCCACAATGCCGGCTCAAGTGCCACGAGAGTATTGTGAGACATGCAATGGTAGCATGGACTGAATAACAGAAACCACAAAGGATCCGGCCAAGTTCAGCTCCAAATCATCTGAACCAGCAATTCATCAGTAAGAGTCTGTTTGTCTGCTCATTAGGAACATTAAAAAAAAAAGTCTCAGTCAGAAAAAAACACATTTTATAACCCTTCATGTAAGCGAGAACCCTTTAATTAAATGAAAAAGGAAAAGGCTTTAGGTATATAATACTTGCCTGCAGTGGACTATGATAGGACACGAGCGTCCCCGGTAGCACTTGTTAACTTTCCTGTAAAAAACAGAACAGAAAAACAAGCTCAGTGTTAACATCACAGGTACAGCAACAGACACAGTCAGTACATCATGTATCTCAGATCTCAAGAATAATAACCACAAAGAACAGCATGCACGTCACTATTAATGCTAATGTCTAATAGGAATAAATAGACAGAAATGTTCCATAGGACGGCCAGAATTCTCATTAAGTTGGTTATTGATGCACAGCTTTGAGAACATCACAAAAATATCTTCTAAGCTCGTGATCTTTACCAGTTTTTGTGATAACATATGATACTGAACATGAGTATCAAGGAGAATTCACAGTTACCACTTACCAGACATATGTCATTTTAATAAAAAGTTAAAGCTGTTTCTAAGTACAACAATTAATCATTTCTGACACGATGTGTTTGGAATTAAAGACAAACCATAGACCATGAATCATAATTAGGACCATCTATTGGTCTGTAAAACCACTCTTGACTGTTTAAGTTTAGCACTGTTCAATGCCCACCAGAACGTCTGATCAATTGATCAATAATTAAAGATTCAAGAGACTCATGAGTCTGAGACCACAAAATCACAGCTGCAGCTCCAATCAGGGACCAAGTCATCAAAACAAATTAAAAGAATAAAATAATACATTTCATATGATTTCTTGTAACTTACAACCTCACTTGAAACTATGTAAAGTATCTAGGAGTGGCGGACCCCATCATTTGGCATTCTGGGAAGAGTTTTTTTAACCCGTAGAGCTACAAATGTTTTTTTAACTAGACTCAACAAGATGATGGGTACCCTAAAAAAAGTTATTTAGAGCAATGTCTAGATTTGAACAACACACACATTAAACACAGCAGACAATGAGCCTGTTTACACCTGGTATTAACATCGGATCACAGTGTAGACCACCACCAAGACGTAATCTGATCAGATCACTCAAACCACCTGCCGAGGTGGTCTGGGAAGCATTTGACCACATATCTTTTGTAGAGTAAACGATAATTTGTGTTGGGCCACAGTGAAGGACCTCCTACTCAACTTATGTCCCGTAAGTACACAGAAGCAGGCTGTTTGGGTCATATTTGGACTCTCTTACCTGCCAAGATAAGCAGCAGATCTTAGTGAACACACTGTTTAAACTGATGAACTAGAAACTGCAACATCCCCAGACTCCCTTAAAAAAATCACACAATTTTGAGAGTCGTTGAGTGATGAGAAACTTTTTAAACTTTGGGAAATGCTCCTAACAACAAATTCTTTATTATTTGGACCTCCATCATTATACAATAAGGTCTTTCTCCCTTTGTGTGAAAACCATTGTGTCCATTTGTCCCAGTGTGTCCGTTTTTGCAAATTTAAATGTATTACATGCATTAGAATACCAGGTGTAAAACTGACATATTTAGAACTGTCCACTTGTGATCGGATCACCAGATGCATGATAATGCCAGGTACAAACAGGGCTGATATGAGAAAGGTGCACTGTGTATAATAACTGCCCACCAGCATACCAAAGGCAGAAAAGCTGTTATCTTAATGAGTTACAAACATTTCAGACAACCATACCAGTGATATTGTTGGTGCTGATGCTTAAACCCTGCTCATGTTGGCTTTTTGGTCAAATGTTGGTCAAGTTAAACGCCTTCAGGCTCCTGAAACTTTAGAAGATTTAGCTTCATTTTCTGTAGAAGATGAACCCGTCCTTCCTGTTTTGTGCTGTAAAGCAGCAGCACACAACTGTTAAATAATAACTAAATTGCCACAAGTAGCAACTTTTAAGAACTCTTCCTTTACTGCTTTGATGGGACAAACAACTTGTTTCCAAAGAGTATCATGAAATGAAGAAAAAAAAAGGTTTTCTTACTAGTGCTCATGGATTTTTAAAAATCTTATTTTGTTATTGACAGATCTTAAAGTTGCCCAGCTGAAACAACACAAGAAGGAAAACCATCTCTCTGCTGTATCCTGATATTCCACAACAGATGAGATATATTCAGTCTTGTTGCTGCTTTCATACAAGCTTAAAAATGTTGCAAACTGCCTCAAAGTAGGCTACTGATGAAGACGGCACATACTTTTTTAAAAACAGTAGTGAGAACTCTTGTTCATCAAAATGCACAGCGACCAGTGAATCACAAACATCCAGCTTCAATCTGAGCAAGAAGCCAAGAGCCGTGAGTTTGATCCCAGCTGGAGATCATCTCAGATTCTATTTCATGGTGATAACTCTAAATAACAATATTCAGCAGGAACATGTTGTGTAAAGGCACGGCGTGTGTGTGGCTGTGGTGTGTGTAATCCATAATGCATCACTCCTCAGACCTGCAGGGTTAATGCATTACATTTTCTTTCCTTGAACTGGAAGTTTCCATGGTCATTTAGGAGGTTTCAAGCAACCGTAGGTCATGAAATTCACTCTTAACATAAAGTCCTCATTGTAACTGGCACATTTTCAATTAAAATGTTTTGAAACTTTTCCAAACCAAGACATTATTTTATTGAAACTCCAACTCATTTTTTGTTTAATCCCTGCTGAAGTGGTTTTCAACCTATCTGTTTCTGCAGAATTTCGCAAAAACCTACTAGATTCTAGTGAGATTTGGTGGAAAGTTAGACTTAGCACCATGAAAAAATTAGATAATCTTAGGTCACATGATGACAACCACTGAAGAAGACCATGACATGTGGTTGAAAGGTTGCTTATAGTGTTTCCATGATGTTTTCATGGATTTATTAACAATGAAAGACACTTTTCACTCTTTTGTATGCTTACTCGAATCATAAAATCCAATATGTAGATGACAAAAAAAATGTAAAACCTTTTATATCATTTCAGTATCATGAAGCTGTGGCAGAGGTTTGCACTAAATGATAACGATAAACCACATGTATTCAATAAATCACAGTATATTCTTTTCATCCAACTGATATGTAGACTGCACCAAAATAACTGTCAGTCAGGGGCTCTAACAGAGGACAGAACTGTTACTGTATAACCAAAGCCAAATAGAATGTTATGTTTTCGGGAAAATGCATTTTTGGCCGTGGGTTTTGATAGCGATTCCTCAGGCCAAGAGATGAACAGACAAGCAGGAAAATCACAAAAACTGAAGAAAGGAAGTCATTCTATCTAAAAAAAAATACAAAAAAAACACTTCTTCCTCCACCCCACCAAAATTGAAAAGTCAGAGCTCACTGCAGACAATTAAAAGTGATGTTACCATGGAAACAGCCGGCAGAGAATCACCAACAGGCGGGGGTTGGGGGGGTTGGGGCGGCGTGTATAGAGGGGTGTGGGATTCAAAAGGAACGCCCCGTAAGAGAGATTCAAGCTTGACGGAGAGAGCGAGAGCGAGAGCGAGAGAAAGACAGACCAAGAGTCAGACAGGGAGAGACGAGTGACGGAGAGAGACGAGAGACTATATCCACACTAAGCCAGCTCATATTGAAAAGGCTGTTGAAAACAACGTAGCTTCAAACTAACATTGTCATAGTTCTCTCGTATAAAGATCTCAATCCACACTTAAAGGCATAAACCTTTCGCTGAATTTATTGCACGCAAACTGAAATCTGCAACATGAGATCAATTTCTCTGTGTTTCAACAGTCAAAATGTAATTGCGGACCATCCATTAACAGGTGAGCCGCCATTACGACTGGAAAATGTATCTGCAATATGCTGAGTGACAGTCATTTATGACGCGCGCCACTGCCACTATTTACGATCAGGCTTTGTGAAACGGGGACCTGATCTCAATTATACACCTATATATTAAGTTCTGATCTGTTTAACTTACCAACAATTAAGTGGTTATGACATCTGTATCATATGATCAGCTATACTGACATTTAAAATGAGTGATTGCAGAGAAGGTTAGAGGTGACAGACAGCTGCTTTCTTAACCTTATTGGTTGATTATTACCGGTTTAGTGTGGACAGAGGACCAAAACAGAGGTCTTAGTGTGGATGTAGTCTCAGAGCAGAAGTCAGACATCATCAAGAGAGACAGATAGAAGGACGTAAGAGAGAGGCAGAGACAGATAGAGGGTGGGAGAGAGAAAGACAAAAGCGACCGAAAGAGGAAGGGAGGCGTGGCGAGGTGGGCGGAGATCGGAGGCAGTCAAGCAAACCATGAGCAAGCAAAAAGGCGAGAGATCATCTCAGGTCACCGGGCACAGCGAGGAGAGAGAAAGAGGTGAGAGAAGACGGAGGGGGGAAAAGAAGGGGAGGACAAGAGGGGGTATAAGGGTAGGTAGGGGGGGGTCCATGAGGCCCCTTGGTTGCAGAGTCACAGTCTCCAATGATCACTTTTGTGACTATGCAACTGGGCTTATATTACTAGCTGCAACATCACAAAAATGACACTGGCAACCGCTAGTTAGCTGGTAAAACAGGGTGAAAAGGGCAGAGAGGATTTGTAAGCAATGCTTCGGCTCAGTCAGTCAGTTGTGAGTAAGTTTAAAAAAAAACCCAACAAAAAACATGCCGGCACGAGCATAAAAGAAGAAGAGGTCAGCCGACATCATCAAACCATCGAGGGCAGGTTGTTATTGTGAAAGTACCATATCCCCCGCAATAAAAGTGAAAAATATCTCCCTCTGCGCTTTCTTCATTGTGTTCTGACCCCCCCACCCTGTGAGTAAAGGCAATATTTCCTAACTGATGGTGGGTGGTGACGCCCACCAGACCTTTTTATAATAGCTGCGACCACAAACCCTCACTCTTGATATCTCACCTAATTGATGTGCGCCAGCAGCACGGCGACACCGGGCCTATATATAAAAACCGAGTTGGGTTCTATCGCTCGAGAAAATCCACAGTGAATCAGAGAAAAGGGACCGGGGCGGCTCCCACCTAATAGGCAATACAGTATATCAGTTTAAAAGAGGTCGAAGGAGGGGAAGGAGGGGAGCGGCTATAAAGGCGCCGGAGATAAAGGATCACTCCGGCAGAGTTCACTCAATGCATCCTGAATTACACTGTTATCGACTTGAAGATGCCCAGGATGTTTGAGGATATATAGATATTTCTCTGCCCGCATCTCAGGGTCACGAGTCTAAACTCCTGGAGAAGTGAGAGGTTTGAAGTTATTACAGTGTGAGCCACAAAAGCCATTCGAAGCTTCTGTTTTTTAGAGGATTGGGCAGGCTGGGGACAAACAACTCCAAGAGCGTCACTTTCTTTTCGTTTGAGCAACAAAAATGTCCAAAAGAAACCATCCCTCGTAGAAAATTCCACCCTTATTTAGATGGTTCATTTTTGCTTCTGTTTTTTAGGGTTGGAATTTACACTTCTGCTGCCCACTTTCCTGCCTTTTGTTCCTCAATTTCAGTTTGTGATTTCCTACTTTTTCCAGAACAACCTTCAGAGAACTTGTATGACTTCTTGCTAGATGAGGGTTGAATACACAGAACAAACTCAAGGAACCACAGGACAAGTGTGAAGGCTGCAAAAACCCACAAGAATAGCTGTTGGGTTCTTCAAGAAAAGGGAAAAGAAGACGAATTCCTGTTTGTGTAAGGTAGTGAAGGTTGCTTGTAGGATATAGAAAACGTACGTACAAAACATTTTTTGCATAGGAAAGTATACTTTCTACTACTATCACACAGTTCTAGGGTCTTCTGTCTATCTATAGTCTTTACAAATAAAAGCTGGTTTTGTTCAACCTAAGCAAAGACAATGTGTGGTAACCAGCTCTTTGGAGAAACAGTGTGGTGACTATTGTTTTGGAAATCATCATACAAAGGGCTCTTCTTAAGTTTCTTTTTGGAAGTGAATCCTGTTATCAAAGTGTATTTTTTTCTCCCAAGGCCTCTTTCAAAAAGACTTTCAAAAGTTCCTTTAAGGCCTTCTAAAACCCCAGTGCTTTCACTATCAACATTAGAAGCAGGCTTTATGTACTTTATGTACTTCAAATAAAAAGGAGTTCCAAAAAGCTCTTGAAGTAAGTTGCTAAGAAGTCTTTATTACCTGGCCAGTACAGAAAAATACGTTATGTGGGTGAATGAGTGGCATCTACCCTGTCAGTTAATCAGCCGGTGGCAGTACCTCTGCTCTGTTTGTGCATTGGTAGTATGTGCAGTGGGAAGCCGGTGAGGGATCACAGTTTTATTGTCGCACTAGTAATTCCTAGAAGTGGATTTCTTGGTGTAGCTTTACCAGCAGCAGAGTTAGCAGTGTCAAGGAAAATAGCACCCGTTGGACAAAAAACGGGTAAAAATACTCCCCTCTTAAACAGCTTTTACTGCGTAAAAAACAAGAAATCTTAGTTTAGTTTAAAAATGTTTTACAGGCCTTTTCAAAGTAGTTCCCTACCTGCGGAAGTCGAGGAGCGTCCGGCTGGTCTCTGGGACGTTCTGGTTGAGCCAAGTCAAGAAGTGGAACTGAGTGACAGTTCGTGTCTCGTTGGTCTGCATGTTCTTCAGGTAGAAGCTACGAACCAGGAAATCATCGCACCAGATGTGTTCGGACACCAGATTCACCTGTGTCGCAAGTGTAACAATAAAAAACTTATTTTTAGACACACAAGATTGCTAGATGCTTCATTAAGCGATGATAATCTTTCGGTGAAACTTTATTTGGATAGTCCAGCTACAGTTTATAAAGTCTGTAAGTGTTTACCAGATTATCTATAGAGTTTATGTAACAATTCATGGAAATTCTCTAACCAAGATGTTTTTTGTGTCTTAACCTAACCAAACCTTTATTTACAAACCAGTTGAAATGTTGAATCTTAACTAATAAGCTGCTGAAATGTTACAAATACTCTGTAAACTATCTGTGTACAGACTATTCAAATAAAGTGGAACTGGAAATATTCTTATATTTTTGGACTTTGGTCTTTAGAAACTTACTTGATCGTAGTGATAATAATATAACTGTAAAATGATAGATGATAAAATGTGACTAGGATTGACCAATCATATATGCAGTATGGGGCATCAGATCAATCCAGTTATTGCAAGCCAATCAGATCCCCTGTCATGCCAAATGTTTTTACCTTAAAAACTTTTTTCATAAAGTCAAAGGCCAATGACATAAAGTTCTGCTCACACTGAATCATTTTACCTCATAGATGTGATACAGGTTGGATCCCTCATCGGGCCAGTAGTGGTAGCACTGCTTCACCCCGCTCTCGACAAGAGGTGTCAGCATAACAATAACCACGCAGCCATTCTCCCATACCATCTGAAAAGAAAATACACACTCAGTTAGATTCACTGAAGTGGCAGGTAAATGCCTCGTGCGCCTTCTTTGAAGGCCTCTTCCTTTTGAAACCTAGTGACTTCTATCTATGACAGAGTAACTTATACTCTATATATTTTCAAAAGACTTGGAGATAGGCAGTTTTCTCAACAGATGATCTATTTTTTAACCAGGGACTTAATGTTCTTTAAAAAGTTTGTTTAAATGTCAAGCGCTTCTCCATTTCCTAAGAGTAGGAGTCACGTTCTTGAAGTTGTGAGAGCTTGATTTGGAACAAGATCTCATATGAAGCTGTCAACACTTCAGAAAATCTGCTAACAGCAACACTGACATGTGTCCTCACTCACCCACTCGCTTGGATATTGGTCCATAATCAGTTGAAATTCTGTGCTATCTATCATTTTTGGAAGGGTAAATGTGTCTGTTTTGGGGGTGGGGTGAAAATGAAATCTTAGTTTGAAACCAAACACTTCACGACATGTTTACTGTGTTTCAAACTTTGGTAAGAAACTACAAGGAAGTCAAGCGTTGTGGCATGAAAAGTAATTGCTGTTGAGGCGGTTCCCTCCCCCAACTGGGTCATTCCACTCTGAGACCCGGCACGCGGTCGTATTTTTCCTGCTGGCAGTCATATTCTCACAGCCGGAGGGTGGGCTGGCTCTGGAGATCCATTCGACTGTGATCAGAGGTAACAGTCAGCCGTTAATGGAAGCCATAAAACAATACCGCTCCCACATCATCCTGTTAGATAATCAAGATTGCTGTACCTGCCGTTCAGTTAGGAGCGCTGCCACACCTTGCCGGAGATTTAACCAACCTTAATTGCGGTGGGTTTTGAATTACTGCACCTCTACACACCCTCCTCTCTGCCCCCATTGCTTTCCTGATTGGTCTCACGGATCTCAAGATGTGACGGTGCACTTTTTTGAGAAATGGTGTTAATTTGCTTTAGCTGACAGGGTGAGAACTCTGCTGGTGCTGGGAGGACAAGTTCCCTCTTTTAAAGCCTGTTTGGTTTGTTAAAATGCAAATTTAATTTAAACTCTTATTTATGCTGGAAAAAGTTAACTGCACACCATGCTCTTTTCTAGAACTGCAACATCATACAGGTCCATGTATTAACTTGTGTAAGCTGGATGTTGTGGAGTTTGTGTTCTCAGTACTTTGCTCAAAGGCACGTCAGCAGACTCAGCAGTGATATATGTGGTGTAATAACCTCGGCAGCTCCTGATTAAGGAGTCTGATAAGACAAAGTGCTGCTGGTTTGGTTGACTGGGCGACAACACAGACCTGTATACAGGATACTGACTTTTTGAACATTTATAGCATCGTCTCTAGATTACACATAAGTAGACCATTATTCATTTTGAGGATTCGTCTACAGCTCTGTCTCTACTTTTTATTCCTGGGACGCTGATATGAACCAGACACTGAGAAGGCCTGTACTGGGTCAAGAGGGTCTAGCCTGGGAAACTAATTTCTGTAGAACTGTAACTGGTGAATTTAAATAGCAAAACTTTAAACCTATACACTGTATATGTGTACATGAGGTAAGTTGTATCTGTAACAGTTATTTCAGCCCAGTCTCAAGCCAAAGCGTTTAATAGACCTGCTGATCCACAAGAGCAAAGGTCAGCAACTTTACTATCAGAAGAGCCATTTTTGACCAAAAACCAATCTGTCTGGATCCGCAAAACATATTTGAGACTTATAATGCTAATTTCTCATTGCAGACCAAACATACCAGGAAGCCAGCAGCGTTGGTGGTGAAAGCAAACAAATCTGTCCCCGCAGAATAACACAAACAAAATAACGTAATTTTGAAGTCATAATGGGTGCTATAACAAAATTACAGTTATATAATTTAACAAAATTAACAATATAATAACAAAATTACGTTTTTGGTGTAATTGCAACACAATTTCACAGGCTGTCTCTGCAGCAGAAACTGATGTAATTGGCACATATTTGGATTATATCACAACTAGCGCAGTCACCATTTGTGCAGCAATTAGCACTGAGTAGCCAGTCAGCAGAGAGCACAACAAAAATAAGAAAACAGAATCATTTGCAATCCAAATTTAATTTACTAATTTCGTTAATTAAAAAAAGATGTTTGGGTTATGCAATCTCGATGTTTCAACACTGCACAGGAGAGGAGATTTTTATCTTTAGTTAAACCAAATGAGAAAATATATTAGAGAATCCATGGCACATTTTAAATGTTTCCAGTGTTTCTGGTAACCAGCACTACGGGGGAATGCAGCAGGGACAGAACTTGTTTGACAAGGGGACCTTTCCTTCCAACACACACACACACACACACACACACGCACACACACACACACACATACAAATATACACCCATCCCACTGCTCTCCTCGACACACGCACATATATGTACCACGATTGGCCAGAATAACTTATCGATCCTCTGGTCTCACATTCAAACGCATTTTGGGACGGTGGGAAAAGTGTTTGCTGTCCCCCGCTTTAACATTGTGTCCCACTGTAGACTGGTGTGTGTGTGTGTGTGTGTGTGCGCGTGTGGTGCGCAGTGAGCATGATGGTGAAGGAGAGATTAATAACGACATCCACAGAACAAGCTGGTCTCCCGCGTGGCTCGCTGCACTAATAAAAATCGGCTAACTCTTGTTTAAGAGAGGAGAATGTATTGATTTTTGTTCCTGAGCATGTGTGCATGCACTGTATGTGTGTGTGTGTGTGTGTGTGTGTGTGGTTTTACCTGCCAGAAATCAGCCACAGTGGAGGGCAGAGGGCCTTGAGTGGCAATGTAGGCTGGGTTCCTGGGATCGTGATCCATCTGAGGGGACAGGAAAAGAAAAAGAGGGAGAGGAAGAGGGTGAGGAGATGACATAAGGTTACAAATATTGATTGTATACTAAAGTTAAATTTCCTTTTCACACATTTCATGTTGGTTTTTGTCCTAAGAATTCACCCTGTGACATTTCGTTTCATTTAATTTAATTAACTTGGTGTCAAGTAGGATCTCTCTTTTTCAAATGAGAGTGTTGGCCAAGCACAACTGAAAATACAGGAGAAAACAAAACCAAGATAAAGAAGACAGTGCTGAGTTCAGAAACTGGCTAGTTGTGACGTCGTAACATTTTAAAGGTGGCAATGGTTTAGTGGCACATAGTGGTGCAGTTGCAGATTGCAACCCCCTCGCTTCACCTTCCCCTTCAAAATGCAGAGGACACTACAGAAAAACGCGCAAAAATTTTTAATGTTCCTAAAGCCATTGGTTGGTTTGTCTGTTCCGGGCTACTGTAGAAACATAGTAGTTCAACATGGTGGACTATGGTAGACAAAAACAGCTCATTGTAAGGCAACAAAAAACCTTAATTTCAGCTGATTATACCCTAATGAAAACATACCTATGAATATTATATTCCATTTCTTCCATTGGATCCTCCTTAATGTTACACACTGGACCTTTAAATGCAACTTTGAGAGAGTTAAGAGCAGTGGAAATTCTAAATTGCACAACCTCAAAGGCAAAATTTTAGAGATTAGGTTAAATCCTAAATGTTTCTGCAGGAGCCTTCTTTTCAAAGTCAGTGGGAGTAATAGCGAATTAATCAACTATACGTCCTGGAAAAGAAGGTTGCATGTTGAGCTTTATGAAAAATGGAAGTACAATGAGAAGTGAGAGGGCAACAAACCACCAATAATAGCCTTATAAATAAAAGCAAACCAATGAAGTAATCTCTGAGTGGTCAAAGAGGGCCACTTCATCTCAGCATACAGCAGTACAGTGATGATGTAGGGCTCTGCAGCCAGTAATAAGCCTCAGTGCATCGTGATATACAGTGCCCAACAAATGCAACAAGGTGGCACAAGCATTAATATACCACCTCGCTGCATTTGTCCATGTCAGTTTACAATAAAAAACCACCAGAAATTCCCCCTCCGTCTCCTTTTCTTTCATAAGACGTGTAAGTTTGCTACTATATTCCACCTTTAACTGTTCTTACAGTCACAGCTGGAAGCTTCTTGGTGAAGGAGGTGAGAGTTTTCAGTAACTTCCTACCCACTTCCTTAACTTAATGGAAATTACAGAGGGATGGCGTAGGCGTCGAGAGCAAAGACAGGAGACGAACGTGAGGTGAATTTGCGAGGAAGTGAGTGACACCCCTGCCTATTACCATGCAAATTGTACGGTAAATGTAATAATTGGCAAGACCAATTTAGCTGGAGGCAATTACAGAGGGAAGACAGATAATTTCTGGGGCTTTTCCGTGTGCAGGATTGTCTTTAATGGTCCTCTGTTCCCTTTATGAAGGCCAAACAATAATGCACTTCTCCTGAACTTAAAATGTAATAACTTAGAGAGAGAAAAGGTGACATGGTGCCAGGGAGGTTGGCTCATTAAAGCGTCCACAGCCGGAATTGCGTCACGGACAAAAAAAATAGCTGGAGGCTGAGGTGCACCTTTAAGACATCTGAAAGGGGTTAGCCGGAGTG